TTATTTCTTGTCATATATTACTTTGTATATGTAAAATATATATTATATTGTGTATATATATATATATATATATATTGTCTTATTTTGACTTCCCAGATGAAGAGGTCGGGGGTGAGAAAGGGATGGAAACGTTTATAAAACATCCAGAGTTCAAAAAACTTAACATCGGCTTCGCCCTGGACGAAGGTAAACAAACATAAATTAAATATTTCCTGCACATCATCGTCAGGAGTGTGTGTGTGTGTGTGTGTGTGTGTGTGTTGTTTGACTCTGCCGTCGTTCCTCAGGTCTGGCCAATCCTGGTGAAGCGTTCACTGTGTTTTATGGAGAGAGGAATCCCTGGTGTGAGTAACGAATAAACAAACGTCGTTCCTGCGCTGGATCTGGTTAATAACTGAGAAGGTCGGTGGAGTCAAACTCTCTGTCTCTCTCTCTCTCTCTCTCTGTCTCTCTGTCTCTCTGTCTCTGTGTCCAGGGATCACCGTTAACTGTCCAGGTAGTCCGGGTCATGGCTCCAGGTTTGTGGAGAACACGGCTGCTGAGAAGCTGGTCAGTGTCGAAGCAGGCGTTAAATTAACTCACAGATGTGAATTGTTGATAGTGAAATCCGATAATATCGGCCGAACGATATTAGCATAATTATGTAACATCTGTAAGAATTTCCTCCTGGGATGAAAACCTGATTACGCAATGCCTGGGTTTCACCAAATAATGTGTGTCACCTGAAAATAGTTTTTGAACAAAAACGGCTGTCTATGATAATGAACGTCACTAGATGGCAGCATTGCAGCTCATTTTATTTTATTTTATTAATCAGTTTAATAATAATTCAATATTTTAATACATTGATTTGTACAGATAAATAAATAAATATTTCCAGGCTCTTTTACCAGGTATTTTAATTAAGGGCGGGGGTGAAAAAACTTCTGTGTTTGGGCAATATCGACATATCGGATTTCCGCCAAAAGCTAAGTGAAACTAGTGATGCATGATGGGGATTATTCCATCTGACGACTGTTTTCTGTTCATGACTTTTCTATGATCTTTTTATTTTGAGCCAAGGCTTTAAATTTTTCTTTTTCTTTTACAGCGAACCGTCATGAACTCCTTCTTGGACTTCAGAGAGAAGGAAAAACAAAGGTACGAACCAGGTCACAGACCTCAGAGTCACAGACCTCAGAGTCACAGACCTCAGAGTCACAGACCTCAGAGTCACAGACCTCAGAGTCACAGACCGCCGTCAGTGGTTGATTGTGTTAATGTGTGTGAAACGCAGACTGAACACGAGTGAATGTTTCACGCTGGGCGACGTCACCACGGTGAATATGACCATGGTCAGGGGCGGCGTGGCCTACAACGTCATCCCGGATGAAATGGACGTCAGCTTCGACCTCAGAATCCCCCCCACGGTCAATCTGAAGGTGTGTGAATGTCCACGCCTCGCTTCTGAAACACAGACCCAAACAGACTCGTCTGACGTCTGTAGACTGACGTTCATCTTCTTCTTCTTCTTGTTGTTCCAGGAGTTTGAGGAGCAGATCAGACGCTGGTGTCAGGAGGCGGGAGAAGACGTCACCTATAAATTTGCTCAGGTCAGTCGACAACGTTCTGCTACGCGTTCTTCGCTGCGCCGCGTCGTAAAAGTCAAGTTGGTTTACCGCCGGTGGTCTTTGCAGAAACACATGAACCAGAATATCACATCTACGGAGGAGAGCGATCCCTGGTGGACGGCCTTCAGCACCGCATGCAAGGACATGTAAGAGTCCGTCCATATTTCTACCTGCTGTCAGATGTGTGTGTGTGTGTGTGTGTGTGTGTGTGTGTGTGTGTTTTCAGCTGTTCCTTTTTTTTTATGTGTCCATAAATATATTGTTTGGCAAGTGACAGCACGGGGGAGGAGGAGGGGAGGGGGGGGTTCATCTCTGCTGTTCATTCAGAAAATACAGTGTGGGTGTTTATTTGTTTCTATGACAACAATATCCCATCAGTTCATCACATCAGTCTCATCGACTGCAGTGGTGTCCTGTGTTCTTAAAATTTCTCTTCTCTTAATAAATTAATAGAAATGATTTTTCCTTAAATACTTTTGTCAACAAGATACATTTACATCTCCTCTTCCTCACAGAGAACAACTGCAGAGACATTTGAATGAAAACCTTTGTCTAAATCCATTCATTTATTATTTATATGATCTTTATATTTATCAGACTGGCAAAGTTCTCAAAAATACTGTTGGAACATTGAAGTGATTGAAGATTTTTACCAAATGTCCTGTTTCTTACTGATGGTGACTTTCATTCTGTCCGTCTTCACACTTTTGCTGCAAATGTTCACACAGCTTCTAGAATGATCTTCTCTGCAGAATGAACTGAGAAATCTGATACGGCTGCAGCTACTGGACTATACATACATATATATTTACA